TATTTTATGGGGCAGCAAATTGTGGATTGTTATTTTTGGGGTCACAGGTTTGAATGTTTGGGAACTCCAGGGTTAGACCGATGTCAAAACAATAGTTATCCGCCTTAAAAAAAGCTTAAGTTAGTTTTAAGAGTTCTGTGTTTAAAAAGAAGAAGAGAAGAGCTGATGATCTGTGATACAGGTAAGACCCCCGTCACATATGTATTTTTTCAGTTTTGGGCATATTCATAACGAATCTAGAACTTTTGTCTTGTGAACGGAAACACGTTCATTGTCGTCTGTAACAAGTCAGATACCTTGATATGTGTTGGAGAGAAGTTCTGGATAAGTTATGCATAAGTTACTCAGAGGTTTTGGATAAGCTAGACGCCACGACTTATGAGTAACTGACACTGATCATATGTCAAAAGTCAGATAACTGACCTGGAACTTATGCCCTACGTATGAACATACGCTGACATACGTCGAGAAATTTGGAGCTTTTTGAGCACGTATCTCTAGGTATTCCGGGATGCTTCAGCATGCTCCTAATTTATACAAAATGTCCCCACAACTTATCCAACGTATGCAAGCGTTTTTGCCAGATTTTTCCAACGTCTGGCTAAATCTTCAAGGTGTGACAGAGGCTTAAGCCTGAGAATAACAACATCATCTTCAAGGTGTGACAGAGGCTTAAGCCTGAGAATAACAACATCAGCAATCTCCTCTTTAAATGCCTTCCGGCTGCAGGTACCTTCCAGTTCACCCATCCTTTGTCTTTGTCATCAAAGCTCTGCTTCAGCTGCCCTCCCAGGCTCGTCACATAAAACTGCAGGACAAAAAAAAGTTGACGTTTCACACCTGGACAGAACCCGAGACGCCTGACGCGGACATAAAGGCCGACCTGAACAGGATGCGAGGCTCGTCTGTTCACGGCGTAGCAGCGCTGGATCTGTTTGTGGAGCTTCCAAACGTCCTGCAGACACAGCGACGGTCAGAGTGGCTCACCTGCATCCATGGAAACTACAATGAGTTTAAAACCCGCTGACCTTGATGAGCATGAGGTCATCGAAGCTGCAGTCCACCACCAGCCTCAGAGAGCTGGGCGTCACGTCTCTACGTGGGCGTTTCCGGGGCCCCGGGCCGTCTCCTCTGTTCTCCTGCTGGATGTTCTGCCGTTGCTGTTTGCGCTGCTGCTTCCTCTCCTTTCTTCTCTGTCTGAAAACAAAAGGAGATGATGTCAGAGGTGCAGATGGTCTTCCTTCTCATTACAAACAGAAGCTGGATCCGAATTTATGGTCTGCATCGTCTAAATGCCAGATTAAAAGGCTGATTACACCACAGCGCGACACCAAGGTCTGTTTAGATTCCAAGACTCATCGTAATGCATTTATAGTTAATACAACTACTCCATATTTGTACACATTATGTTATAGATAAAAATCTGTTCTCTTAAATGCCATCAGAATGCTTATAATTCAGTGTCCGCCATATTGGATCAGTCCATTTGCTGCACGTGTTCAGAAAGGTCCAAACAGACAGCAGCAAACCATTTGAAAACAAACCATGCAATGTAGTTGCTATATTTAGCCACTTTTCAGACCCCTCTAGCACTTT